TACAAACCAGTAATTCATACTTACTCCTTCATTTCTTTGGATGGGGAGTTACATGCAGGTAAAAATGCTGATGTGTTACTTAGTTTATCCAATGTGCAGGCTGTTCCTATGGCTCGCACTACTAGTCCAGACTCTCCCTCCAAATCAAAACACTGCAAATAACCAACAACAGCATTTCCTCTCATTTCAAGCACCTTCAAGCCAATCTTCCTTTGCAATTCACCTACAAAACAAAAGGTAAAGAGCTCATAATTGCAGTGAATTTCCTCTATGCTCTTTTGTGGTCTTTGGCCTCCGCTTTTGGAATTGTCAAGCAAGTCAGCAAAACAGGTAACAGATCCAATCTTACATTAATTCCTCCAAGCAGCTGGCCACAATCTCCACCTCCTATAACACAGTGTGATTTTCATGTTTTGCACAGCTTTTTCCTTTTTTTCTCCACAACTACTCTGATTGCCCAAATAATGTGTTATTTCAGAAATGTTCTTCTCTGGTTTTTATTTTCATTCGTTCTTCCCTTTTTTACTTATTTAGAGAGAAAAAGACATGGTCAAGATATGTGCTGGAACACACGTAAGTTTCTAAATACACCTTCATGCAGTTGAGAACAATGCAACACCTTTGAAATTCATGTGGATTGGCATCTATAGTTTTTTGTTTGCAAGCTTATTTAAGCATATTTCAACTAATTTATACTTTTTGCTCTTTTTAAATTGATCAGCGTTTAATATGGTAGCCTGACCTACAAAATGTTAACACCACATAAACAAAACACAATACCAAATGCCCCACACTCTCACTGCAAACAAACGACTGCCATGTCTCTATTAGCTGCACACAAAGACTGAAAGACTGTAACTATATGATAATGGTCTGCCATAGATGCCTACTTAGCAGGATGGGTTTTTTTTTAAAAAAAAAAAAGTTCATTGATCTATGTAGCTAGGTAGTCTTGGTAATACAAGGCAGAAAATATTATCTCTCTTCTGATGAAAGTGAAATATCTCCAAAATCCTCTGTTGACAAACTGAAAAAGCCTCAGTACCACGGAGGATAGCCTAACAGTCCCAATGTCAATAACGTTAAGAAACCAAGTCGCACAAAATGATCACTGCTGCTTTCCAGAAGCTTTGTGTTAAAATTACCAGAACAGGTTCCTATTGTAAACTTCTTAACAGAGGCTGAAATTATGCCTCTACTGGTCTTGAAAAATCTCCAAGATTGAGATAGAGTATGAAAGTTTCTACCTGAGTGAAAATTGCCACGGATTCTTTTCAAACCAAGTCAAGAATGAATTCTTTTTTACATACACAGCACAGTATGACAGAGATCTATGAAAGAGCCTGGGTTATTCTCAAAAGTTACAGATTTCTTCAGGATTCTTTAGGTGTGGCTACCAGTAACAACAATTGCAATGTGAAGCATTATATTACAGGACATAAAACAGTACTGCTATGAGGTCTTTTGGGTTTTTTTCCTCTTAACCACTGCCATGAATAAAAACAGTAACAAAATCTAGCAGAACACCTCCACATGTGCTACTTTATCCACTTTCACTATTTATGCAAGGTAAGAGATATGCAGAAACATGGATTTGACGGATGGACCACTCAGTGGATAAGGAATTGGCTGGATGGTCGCACTCAAAGAGTTGTGGTCAACGGTTCAATGTCCACATGGAGGCCAGTGACAAGTGGTGTTCCTCAGAGGTCAGTCCTGGGGCCAGTGCTACTTAACATCTTTGTTGGAGACATGAACAGTGGGATTGAGTGCACCCTCAGCAAGTTTGCAGATGACACCAAGCTGTGTGGTGTTGTGGACACACTGGAGGGAAGGGATGCCATCCAGAGGGACCTTGACAGGCTGGAGAGGTGGGCCTGTGAGAACCTCATGAAGTTCAACAAGGCCAAGTGCAAGGTCCTGCACGTGGGTCGGGGCAATCCCAAGCACAAGTACAGGCTGGGTGGAGAATGGATTGAGAGCAGCCCTGAGGAAAAGGACTTGGGAGTGCTGGTGGATGAGAAGCTCAACATGAGCCGGCAATGTGCAGTGGCAGCACAGAAAGCAAATCGTATCCTGGGCTGCATCAAAAGGAGCGTGGCCAGCAGGTCGAGGGAAGTGATTCTGCCCCTCTACTCTGCTCTCATGAGACCCCATTTGGAATACTGCGTTCAGCTCTGGAGTCCCCAACACAAGAAGGACATGGAGCTGCTGGAGTGAGTCTTGAGGAGGGCCACGAAGATGATCCGAGGGCTGGAGCACCTCTGCTATGAAGACAGGCTGAGAGAGCTGGGGCTGTTCAGCCTGAAGAAGAGAAGGCTCCAGGGTGATTTTATAGCAGCTTTCCAGTACTTAAAGGGGGCCTACAGGAAAGCTGGAGAGGGACTTTTTACAAGGGTGTGTAGTGACAGGACAAGGGGCAATGGATTTAAACTGAAAGAGGGGAGACTGAGATTAGATATAAGGAAGAAATTCTTCACCCTGAGCATGGTGAGGCACTGGAACAAGTTGCCTAGAGAAGCTGTAGATGCCCCATCCCTGGAAGTGTTCAAGGCCAGGTTGGATGAGGCTTTGAGCAACCTGGTGTAGTGGAGGGTGTCCCTGCCCAAGGCAGGGGGGTTGGAACTGGATGATCTTTGAAATCCTAACCATTCTATGATTTGATGATACTCTAGAGTATGGGTGTTTTGTTCTGTTCTATTGACACTGAAACAGGAGGATCTTGGTTCATAACTACTGTTCATAAGCATCAGTAATGCAATAAACAAAAAAAAAAAACTGTGAAGATACTTGATACTCTGGAGACATCAAATGCCTTTAATCACTGGTCTCTCCAGGAATTGCAGGTATGTCCTGCAGAATCGATGCAAGGCAATACAGAAGCATGCTTGAGAAACAGTGAACCAATCTTGACATCGGAAAGATGGGATGAGTAAGGTAAGTACTAACACATGCTGTATCTGAGATGGTGTATATTTGCTCACGTACTTCGAAGCAGTTCAGAGAAGGTGGAGTAGTTTGTTATTTCAATTGTTTGAATCAAAATTCTAGTAATACTTCTCATATGGGTAAAGAACATCTTCAAGAGTTTCACAGGTTTCTTTGACCTTGCTGAAAACAACGAACAAATTAGACAGCAGCATGGCCTCACCAAGAAGAGGGGGGGGGAAGGGCAGGGCTGGAAAAGGTAAAAGGTCAGCCATACCAGCTATCAATTAGGATAACAGAACCTCGGAAACAGGAGACACTGTGAACTGAAAAAATAAACTTAACTAATACCAAAAATCATGGACAATCTTGTCTCAAGCAAGTCATTTATTCAAATGGTGAAGATTTCTAAATGCAGCAATAACCATTATAGCCTATGTGTTTAATACCTGACATGAGTGAAATGAGTCTTTGTCTAGCCTCATTCGATGCCCTCGGTGTACGAATTCGGTCTATCCACTGGTATTCTGGGTCTTCATTAACTACAAGTTCTTCCACAAATCCATGAATTATTACTGCTCTGTAACACTTAGGAATAGACGTAGCTGTTAAAAAAATAAAAATAAATGAAGCTGTAAGGCATGAGTCTAGGAGCCAAGAATTCCAAGGAAAACATAAAATTACATATCAAAAGCAACATGAACAATTCCAGAAAGTAATCCACATAATTTTCTGTTCACGTGTGGACATATCCAAGCAGTTTTGTTCTGGTACACCCTGGAACACAGATATAACTGTCCAGTGTATCAGTTACAACATGTTCCATGATGAAACCTTTTCACTTTGTGCCTCTTTAACAGGATATGCACGCAAAGTAATACCATGTGCATATGCACTGAAATGCAACTTAATAAAGATAAGGGAGGTGGTGGGGGTGGTGGAATCAGTTATTTACATTGTTTTGAAATATGAACACTAAAAATTTACTTAAAAATAACAAGAAAAGCAATCTGCATTTGCTACTGGCTTCAGTGTAACCTGCACTGGGCTTACACAATAAACTGGTGAAACAGAAACTAACAGAACAGGTAAAGAAAGAAAAGAAAGGGAAGGGAAAAAAGTTTTCAGTTCAAATAAACTTTTTTCCTCTACTTACTGCAAAAAAACTTGACTCCACAGGATGACTGCCTAAATCTGTTTAAATCATTGAAGAGATCTACTTTCACCACCACATTGATCTCTCCACGTATACCTATCAATGAAAAACATGAAAAGTGAGAAGCTCTATCAGAAACAAATACAAAACTAGCCCTATTAATTACTCCCTGTTATTAGTAATTAATGCACTTTCTATTAGCGATGAGTTAGTTTTTCTGCAAGGAATGAATTATAACCCTGCTAGAACCGCTTGGTTCAACTGGCAGTTGACATGTCAATTCCAACCTGGGCCAGAGGAGCAAGAAGACATTTCCTTGCCTCTCAGGTCTGCTGCAGAGACACCGTCACAGAGGAAGTTCCTAGTTCTGCCCAGCCTTTGAGGCTGACGCTATGCAAGCAACAGTCCTCAAATACCTGCTGCACCAAACAGGACTTTAGAAGAAAGATGGGATTGGAGAAAGAGAAGCCACCAGCCTCCTGACACTGCAGTGGCCTCTGCTGTGGTGTGCGAGTGCTCCCTCTGCTCCTTTGCCCTATATCATCAGTGGAAAGGGTGTAAAAATCAGTATATAAGTTCCACGACCGTCCCAAGATATCCTCAGCACAAAAGGTCACCTGCACTAGCTTTGAGTATAGATGCTTCAAACTGGAGTCCTGTCCACATCAAAAAGCTCTGACCAGCACCAAAAAGCTTTTACATTTTGTCCCTGAAGTAGTTTCAAAATCGCAGTAAAGCTACTCTCTAAGTTCCATCCAATGAGAAAATTCATGGTTCTTTCTCTAGAACCGCAAAGCGGCACAGTAAATATTTGTAGAATACTTTGATCATGAGAAGAAATAGATTACAGACTTTTTAGATAAAGCTTAATTTTTGGCCACAATTAAACCTTACTAATAATGGAATATTTCTTCAACACGCAGCCATTCCTTTTCGATTTTTCTACTTTCCTACTCTGAGCTTATTCTTTTTCCCCACCCACTAACAAAACCATTTCACATATTATAGGTTCTGACATACTGAGGACTAAACTTCTTGATGAGTCTGATCTCTAGTGTCTTCAGAAGCCTTTATCACTGAAGCATACAACACTCAAACAACAGCCTTAGATTAGTAGTTTGACTTTATTGCAACAAAGTCACCAAGATCTATATTCCAAAACGCCAACAGGAAGAAGCCTTCAGTTACTATAACAGGAAGTGCCTAGGTTCATAGATTTTCACAAATAATCACACTGAGGTGGAAAAAAAAAATTATAAATAGTATATTGATTTTTTTTAAGGAAGCATCAATTACTGTTTGCCAAGGATCAAGATAATTATAATCTACTGCTATGAGCATAAAAATATAAGAATTCCAATTTTACTTAAACAGAAAAAAAGCTGTGAAATACTAACAGATCTAGAAAAATACAGAAAATCTAATTCTCTCTGACATACAAGTTATACAGATCCCAAGACAAGCATTCACCTAATTTAACTTCAAAAGAAAATGTATGATAGGAAAATGTGAACAGAATAAAAGTAAGAAAAATATATGCAATATTTCTTAAAAAACTCTTCAATGTAACTTTTAAATGTAAAAAATACTTTGCATCAGTTATGATGATCATTTAGTAAATACCATTACTTATTTCCCAACAATGCCTTATAATCAGCTTTCAAGGTAGTTAGGTGATTTAATTCACACTGGATAATGAAAAAGGGTGGCAATGACAACCACACAAATGTTCTGCAATATGGTATTCAAGCAGCAAGCTAATTGGTGTAAACTGGCCTTGACTTTCTGGACAAAAGCTGTGTTTCATTAACATCAAAGGCAAAAACATCAATAACTTCACCTTCTCATACCTTCAAGAGATTCTGATGAAATCTACCTAGCACCGAGAGTACTTTCTGCAGGGAAAAGTAATTTCATCCTGTACTTTATGTTGAAGATATGGTACATCCTGTCCCTCCATCAAGTGAAGTTTATCCAACATCCTAGGAAGTCACGCCCCAAGTGACCTCAGCAAAAGTGTATTCTTTTAGTAAACACATGGTAATTGGAAAAGTATGTTTGGGTCTTTTATTTAATCTGAATTTTGCAGTAACTATTTTAAACACCACGTGAAGATTTTTTCCACTTGTCATTTGTTCTATGGAAGGCGATCTGCCAAGCACTATTCCCAACTACTACGCCAGAAATTTTCTCATGAAAGAAATAAGGAAGAGACTGCCAGAAAAGTAGCTTTTCAGCTCCCAAGGCTAAAATTATTACAAATTTCTGAAGACAGCTTACAAAAATGAAGATTGTAAGAAGCAAATTACATCTCAAACAACACTGTTTTACTTTTACATTAGTGAATCTTACCGTGAATGGTATCATAAATTGGAAACCATCCTGAAATAACTGTAGCTGCTTCACTATAGAGCAAAGGATCAATATCTATGTAGACTTTGCCAATGGCATCATTAGCACTGTAGGTATCATGATCAAGAACTGTGATCTGGAGAGGCTCATCTTGTAGCTCTTCATCATCTACCTAAAACCAAACGTTAACACAGAATCTGAGTAATTAAAAAAACCACAGGGAGACACTGCTGAAAAACAAATGCAAAGAAGAGGAGAGTTAGTTATGTACAGTAACCTGACACAGATAAATCCGTAATTTCTATTTCCTGTATCTAAACAACACATTCACTTATTTTCATTTTACCCTTCACAAACTGCTGAGATCCTGGAACCGGAGTTATCACTGGGAGAAGAACAGAAAAGCAAGATTACAGTGATTACACATTTAAAAATTCCACATGATTTGTCTTAAGTCACATTCCCTAGGTTGTCTACCCACCTCCACAATACATGCTTTTCATTTAAAAAAAAATGAAAATTTAAGATAAAAGCATCTCAGAAGACTATCATACTCTGAAGTTATGATTATTGGTGCTCTCACTCTTCCAAACTGATCAGTGGCTTAAAAGAAGACTAGACATTTTATACAACCCGCTGTAAAAATCCCACTGTAATTTCAGACATGCACTTTCCTAAACAAATGCAATAAACCATCCGCAGATAACTATTTTTTTAGGACATACAAAGATAGACATTCTACAGCTTTTTGTGTTGAACGTCACAAACCAAGAATCAGGTTTGCTAAATGCAGTGGGATGAGTCATGTAAGTGTTTGCAGAACTCTAACGTAGTCTTGCAAAAAGATCAAACTACACACACACGCACACACTTACGATGTCTTAAGCAGTTAGTGTTTTTCCACTCTTTGAAATGTGGAACTCTTATTTTTTCAATGTTGCTGTTTGGCTCTTTCCCAAATCCATTTTTCCATGCAAAAAGATAGAATTTTGAGACTTCTGTTACTGTCAAAAAACCTCATTCTGTATGAACTGTTAACTCTCCACACAGATCAGCTCTTTCCCCTCCCCACAAAAACCACCCCAGGAACCGAAAGAGAAAACAAGAAAAACTGACTGAATTTCAACATCACAGTACTTCTCTCTTAACCAACATGAATTGCTGATTAAAAGATGCTCTTAATCAGGCATTCTGTGTTGATTAATAATCTGCCTAACCTCACTATTTTATATTTGCTCTGAACTACTTCTAACTTACTAGTTATTACATCACTCATTACATGTACCTATATTTACAACCATGTTTATACTGTGATATTATCTTAGAGCACTATAAATTGACCAGTACTATATAATAAAATGTTTTAAGAATTAATTTATTCTAAATACCCCCTTTTTTTTCTTTTTAAGTAATAAAAAAATGCAGTAACAGAAAAGAACATGTAAACGCTTCTTCAGGGCATGTCAAAGGACATCGACGAACCAGATCCTGGAAAGCAAAAAGCAATTCGCTGAGTGTCCTCACTACTACATAAGGAAATGGGAAAAGAAAGTGTATGATAATTGTTGTCCAAACTCTTTATTTTGTAATTTTCTCATAGGAATTCTCCATTTACTTCTTTGTCAAGTGCACTATTTTTGCAACCAAAAGTAACACTTTGAATAGTAATTAACTTTCCTTACTCAAAGTTACCCCTTTAGAAAAATACAAGCATACCCGTACGGATACCTGAAAGCATAACCCATAGTGCTATCTTCCCCCGGCTTTTACCTGTCTTTGGCTTTTTTAGTGTTACCCAGAACAAGATTCGAGTTGGATCCAATCTGTCAAGCTTTTATCTTTACAAACAGTCCTAAAAATCCAACCAGACACCTTTAGTAAGCAAGATCTAACTGTAGACAGGTTTGCTGAAAAGACTTCATGTGTATTTAAACAGAAATATGCTTCACTACTCAAAACTCTTTTTCTGCCTGAAATGAAATTATTTCATTAAGGGCATGTAAACCAAAGTGTCTCTATAGATACAGGCAAGATCTTAAGAAATACTTACTTCAAATTTGAACCACTCAGAATTCCACTGAGGATTAAGTGATTTGGGATACACATCTGTCTTAAATGTTGTATTTCCAAACTTTACCTAAAAATACAAGCATTCAATCAGTAATAATGAATACTAATAAATAAATTTAGAAACACATTAAATCTACACATGTAAATAATTTCAAATACATATTTCAATAACACCAACAAATCATTTTCTCTTCAGTGACAGTGGCTTTTTTTAATCGAATTCACATATATCAGTAAGTAACTTTCTATATATCAACAAGACTTCCAATAAAAATCTCTCACAATTAAAATCGTTTCTTTTCCTCCTCAATCACTTCAGAGGTAAAAATATTGCTTGTATTGGCTATTCAAAGTCATTTGGTATACTCTCTTTGCTTTCTGTTTAGAAATACCGTGAGAAAAAGTTCCCATCTGCCTATTGATAGTTTATATCCTATTACTGTTCTCTCTAGTGTTTCTAAATCAGCTTTATTGAGAATTTAAATATAGAAATAGAATGGTAACATTGGCAAGTTTATTTCTTAAATTTAAAAATATCTCCTCAGATACACACCAGAAGATAACTGAAACCATCTCCATTAACCACACTCTTGATATGCTGGACACATATCAGTGAATTTAGAGCACAAAGGGGGAAGCACCTTATCAGTTTCCATTCCTTTATTTTAATAAAGATAATTCCAGAAAGCATATAAGCACAAAGGTTAGAGGGACTACATATCTACATACATATCTTTCTCTATATCCCTGTAACCTCCAGTTACTGAAGATTAAATATTCTCCATACTTCTGTTGATTAATGCACCTTCAACCACGTAACAGTCTATTTCAGGAATCTCCATTTGGTCTCCGCAGGAGTCTATTTCAGGATGACCTTGTTTATTTTGGGTTTTTTGTCCAGAAAAAAAAAAGTGAAATTGAATTTCTGTGATGCTCCACACCTCAAGAAACCATGATGCACAATGCCAGAGCCTTTATTTCACTGGAGCTTTCATACCAAACCATTTACAAACACTTGTAGTTCTCTGCATGCTGCCTCTCAAAACAAGGAGTGCTTAACTCATACCAAGTATCTGATCCTACTTACAAATACCTGAAGTTAGATATCTGAATTAATTCAAGGTTCTTAAGAAAATAATGAGTGATGAAATAAATGTCGCAGTCACAGACAGTTGTGGATTCGGAATGTAATTTTAAAATTCTGAACAGATTTTGGAGACTAAGTTTAGGCTTAGCTTTTGAAAACTGCATAGCAATTTTTTAAACACTTTTACTCAAGAAAGTATTAAATAAACACTTTAGACGTTTCAGTAATATGGTGATTATTTTGCATAGGTGCATACCCCAACTCTGAAGAGATTCTACACTTGCTTAAGAACACTCAGTGAATTTAAAAAGCCTAAAGCTCTACAGAACTGGACTACGAGTTCACACTGAGCTCTATATATAAAAACAACTGTACGTATCTCAGTCAACAGAACTCTGCACAGCATTTGTGACCAAAGAAGCAAATAAAAATCTAGTGGGGCCCCCGTTTGATTCAATGAACAGTCATGCTTTTTAAAAAGAAGTTACTTCAAAGTAAACTTTCGTGTTAAAAGCCAGAGCGGTGTAACAACACAGGACTACGCAACCTTAGTGTAACAAATCACCCAGCTATCAAAAGGTGTGCGCAGCCTACATGCACACAGAGAACTAACAGTGCTGCCACTCAGAACGTGTATTTATTACACAAAGCAGGATCAGAAAGTGACACTGACGATAGTTTTAACTGAGCCATCTCATACACCACAAGCTGCCAAGAAGCAACAGCCCAGAGCTCCACCCAACCTATTTTTATATGTTATCTAGGGAGTAAATTAGTTCCCTTGGAGCCCCAGGCAGCTATAACTGAACTTCTCCAGTAGTCAAGCTCGTTCATTAAAGCTAGTAGAGATAATCAAGCACTACACTGCTGACCACTGTACAAATTTAGAAGCATGGTTACGGAAGAAATTGTGCTAATTTGCTCCAGATCACACATAACTGGTAAAGTCCAAGTTACAGGGAACCTCAGCCAAGTAAGAGCCCTGAAGCCCTTTCTCGTTTTCTTTTCTCATTCTAGTTATATTAGCAAATCTAACAAGGAAATCAAAGGCTAGTAATCAACTAGTACCTTAACATTACTTCACCTTTTAATTTCTATTTAAGCGAAAACGTTTTGTAAAGATTTTCAGTAACTTTACACTGAAAAAACAAAACAATAGTTTCAAGCTCTATTTTGACATAAATCGCCCCTGCTGCCTTGCCTACTCTGCGTGTGGAAAAGGTAGTTCCCATAGTCTTTCCTTCCAATAACAGTCCTAAAAGCAAGGCCCCATCTATGGACTTGTTTGTGCTAAGACATTTGTGAAACTGCACATTGACCCAACTAAGCAAATTGATCTTACTGAAAAATTTTGTTTTCCTTTTTTTGCTAAGCTAGATGAATTTCCAAATCTATTTTGCTACACAGCTACTCAGACAGTGAGGTTGGCACAGATGGAGCAGGGTTAGGAACAAAGTGACCAACAGGAGGGAGAGCTGTTTCTCCTCAAGGCAGCATAAAAACAGGCCACATTAAACTATTTGTGTTTTCCCACCTCCTAGTAGCACGTACCACAGTTGTTGTAGGCTGCCTATTAATCAAATTTAAAATTACAAGAAAAGTGTTTATAAATTAAAAATTGAATGATGGAACAACGGAAAACAAACACTGAAATATTAAGTTAAATAATTGTCATTGATGCAATAAAATAGAACTGTGTACTACTACAGCTCCATTGAAAAGCACACAAGAAATATGTTTTCACTTTATTACCAATTTACTATTCCACTAAGCAACGCACTTGGTGTCTAATGTCAACAAGTTTTTTAAGCACAAAACTAAATCAGGACTTATATACCAAAAATCTGTTTCGATATGATCGGACTTCTCAATTTATACAATTCTAGAAAGACATTCTGTCTTCCTACCTTAATTCCAGTGTTGCACCAACCTCAATTACTATTTGTAGCCCAAACATGCATTTACATGGCATTCCATTTTAAACACCTCTTTGCTTTTTCTGAGAGTATGGTTTCTGAATCTACAGAATGTTTCTGAAATGTTCTAAGTAATTCATACTGGAAATAACGAATCATAAAGCAGAAGGATCATGTCAATTTATTTTACAACCCCTTCCTAAGAAACACCCTATATATTGCCTACTGACTACATGACCGTAAAGCAGGTTGAGGTTAGATACTTTCGGTGCAATAAAGTGATTTAAACATGAAAGCAATATTAAATGTTTGCCCAATGAAAACCTCTTTGAAAATATTTTAGCATGTCAAATACTTCAAATAGAAATATGAATACTGGCCTTAAAAGCAAAGCCGCACAACCACTCTGCACTTCACATATTCAGAGATACAAACGACTTAAAACATGCTTTACCTACTTCTCCATCCCGCTTACACCACCTCTACCGAACCCTGAAATGGATTCCATGTGGCCACCGCATCACCAAGAGCCGTTCACTAACAGCCTCCAGCCGCGAAAGG